CTCCTCCCTGGTGGCGTATTGGAAGTGTCTTCGAACGTTTTGGTGGGCTCTTGGGCCTTGCGGGCGGGCGGGCGGCGCTCCGCCCGCCCGCGCGCAGGGCCCAAGAGGGGGTCCAAGACGTCTCTCGGAGCCATCTTGGAGGAGATCGATCAACGAAGGGGGGTTGCTAAATTTCACCCCCCCCCTCAGGAGCCACGATCCTCGTGAGGGGTGTCGAATTTTAGCCCTCCCAGGGGTCGATCTTGGACGCTCTGACCGATCGCGGCCCCCCTCTGTCCAGGTCAGTGGGGAGGGGGTAAGGGGAGGGGTAAACCCCTCCCCGAAGGGGAAGAAGGAGGGGTGGAAGAGGAAACGCTCTAAACCACCGACGCCCAGAGGGCTGGTGGGATTACTCCGACGGAAGGACCCCGCATGAGAATCCTCTGGGCGAATTTGGAAAAGCCCTCACCGTCGTCCTCGTGGTTGGTCAGGCGTCCTGGCTGTCTCTTCTGCGTATATTTTTTTCTCCCTGGCGCGGGCCCTCCCCCCGCTCCCTACGTTGCCCCCGACCTCGTCCTCCTGTTTTGGCTCCGGACATTCAGACAGTGGCCCGGGAGTGGTGTTCTGGGAACACGAAGAACACGAAGTGGCCTACAGTTGGCTCCGGGCATTCAAAATGTGGCCCGGGAATGGTGTTCTGGGAGCACGAAGAACACGAAGTGGCCTACAGTTGGCTCCGGGCATTCAAAAATGTGGCCTGAGAATGGCGTTCTGGCAGTGCGAGAGCCCAAAAGTGGCGACAGTTACAGGAATCGGATGACCCGCTCGGATTAGTAACATGATCCGCGGGCCCCATGAGGAGGGGGCTCCCGCGTCAGACTACCTCGCAATTCACTTACAGATGTGGCCTGGGAGTGGCGTTCTGGCAGCGCGAGAGTCCAAAAGTGGCGACAGTTACAGGAATTGGATGACCCGCTCGGATTAGTAACATGATCCGCGGGCCCCATAGGGAGGGGGATCCCGCTTGAGACTTCCTCGCAATTCACTCACAGACGAGGCCCAAGGCGAGTGAGTGAGTGAGTGAGTGAGTGACTGACTGACTGGTGATGATGATGATGATCATCACACTCTTTCACGCGCGCACTCATCATCATCATCATCATCATCATCATCATCATCATCATCATATGTGAGTGCTGATGAGTGAGTGAGTGAGTGAGTGAGTGAGTGAGCGAATGAGTATGTGAGGGATGATGAGTGAGTGAGTGAGTGAGGGATGAGTGATGATGATGATGGTGGGTTCCTGTTCCTGCGCGGGGTGTCCAGAGAAAACAAGAACCCCACTTTGGATGTGGGGAAAAATTAGCACAAAACTTTCAGATTGAATTCCGTGGTCGACACAATTTTTGTTCGAAATGTTTTTTGGGGTCTTTGGTGCTTTCCAGAGGATTCCTGCTGTGAGGTTTCCTGATATAATCCCTCTGCGAGGCTTTCCAGCGGATTCCTGTTGTGAGGCTTTCCGATAGAAGCCCTTTGAGGCGCTTTCCAGAAGATTCCGGGTGGCTTTCCCATAGATTCCTGTTGTGGTGTTTTCCAGAGGATTCCTGCTGTGAGGCTTTCCAATCGAATCCCTTTCGTGGCGCTTTCCAATTGTGAAGTTTTCCAATAAATTCTTCTGTGGCGCTTTCCAGAGGATTCCTGCTGTGGTGCTTTCCAATCAAATCCCTTTGTGGTGCTTTCCAGAGGATTCTTGCTGTGAGGCTTTCCAATAGAATCCCTGTGTGGTGCTTTCCAAGGGATTCTTGTTGTGAGGCTTTCCAATGCAATCCCTTTGTGGGGGCTTTCCAAAGGATTCCTGTTGTGAGGTTTTCCAACACAATCCCTGCGTGGGCCTTTCCAGAGGATTCCTGCTGTGAGGCTTTCCAGTACAGTCCCCTCGTTGTGCTTTCCACGGGATTCTTGATGTGATGCTTTCCAATAGGGTCCTTTCGTGGTGCTTTCCACAGGATTCCTGTTGCGAGGCTTTCCAATAGAAACTCTTTGCGGCGTTTTCCAAAGGATTCCTGCTGTGAGGTTTTCCAATATAATCCGTGTGTGGGGCTTTCCAGAGGATTCTTGCTGGGAGGCCCTCCAATCGAATCCATGTGTGGCGCTTTCCAAAAAGAACAAAAAACACAAAAACAAGCTTTCAAATATAATTCCGCAGTCGACCGCCAGATTATATTATATTTTTTGTTTGGTTTTGGGGTGCTTTCCAGAGGATTCTTGCTGTGACGTTCAATTACAATCCATTTGTTGCGTTTTCCAAAGGATTCCTGTTGTGAGGCTTTCCAATGCACTCCCTTTGTGTCGCTTTCCACAGGATTCCTGCTGTGGCGCTTTCCAATGGAATCCCTTTGTGGCGCTTTCCACAGGATTCCGATTGTGATGCTTTTCAATACAATCCCTTTGTGGCGTTTTCCAATGGATTCCGATGGTGTTACTTTCCAGTGGAATCCCTTTGTGGCGTTTTCCAAAGGATTCCTGTTGTGAGGCTTTCCAATACTATCCCTTCGTTCTGCTTTCCACCGGTTTCCTGCTGTGAGGCTTTCCAGCACAATCCCTTCGTTGTGCTTTCCAGGGGATTCCTGCTGTGAGGCTTTCCAGTGGATTCCCCTTTGTGGCGCTTTCCAGAGGATTCCTGTTGTGAGGCTTTCCAATCGACTCCCTTCGTTGTGTTTTCCCACAGGATTCCTGCTGTCGCGTTTTCCAATGGAATCCCTTTGTGGTGCTTTCCAAAGGATTCCTGTTGTGAGGCTTTCCAGAACAGTCGCTCTGTGGTGCTTTCCAGAGGATTCTTGCTGGGAGGCTTTCCAATACAATCCCTTTGTGGCGTTTTCCAAAGGATTCCTGTTGTGAGGTTTTCCAATGCAATCCCTTCGTTGTGCTTTTCAAAGGATTCCTGTTGTGAGGCTTTCCAATAGAATCCTTTCGTGGTGCTTTCCAGAGGATTCTTGCTGTGAGGGTTTCCAGTGAAATCCCTTTGTGGCGTTTTCCAAAGGATTCCTTCTGTGAAGCTTTCCAATGCAATCCCCTCGTTGTGCTTTCCACAGGATTCCTGCTGGCGTTTTCCAATTGAATCCCCTTGTAGATTTCCAGAGGATTCTTGCTGTGAGGGTTTCCTATGGAATCCTTTTTGTTGCGTTTTCCAGAGGATTCCGATTGTGATGCTTTCCTATACAATCACTTTGTGGTGCTTTCCAGAGGATTCCTGTTGTGAGGCTTTCCACTAGAATCCTTTTGCTGCGCTTTCCAGAGGATTCCTGTTGTGAGGCTTTCCAACAGAATCCCTTCGTGGCGCTTTCCAAAGGATTCCTGTTGCGAGGCTTTCCTGTGGAATCCCCTCGTTGTGCTTCCAGAGGATTCCTGCTGTAAGGCTTTCCAGTGGAATCCCTTTGCGGCGCTCTCCAAAAGATTCCGATTGTGAGGCTGACCAAAAAACCAAAAACAAACAAATAAGTGTTTGTTCGACTTTTTTGTTTTTTTGGGGTGGGTGGGTGGGTGTTTTTTTGGTTTTCTGATTCGTTTTCGGTCTCGTCGGCCTCCACAGAAGGATGCCTATTGAAAACGCGGAAACCGCCCAGGCCTGCATCGGGTCTGGCGCCCTCCTCCTCCTCCTCCTCCTCCTCCTCCTCCTCCTCCTCCTCGCGCTCCCCAGCGTGTCGTTTGCCCCTCCTCCTCCTCCTCCTCCTCCTCCTCCTCCTCCTCCTCCTCCTCCTCCTCCTCCTCCTCCTCCTCCTCCTCCCCCCTCCCCGTGCCATCTTTGGGGGAGAGGCATGTGGATACCTGGGGCCCATCCCATCTTGGGGGGGGGCCTGTGAACCCTGGACTCGGGAACCTACATCCCCAGTTAGGTGGGTCAGGTAGATTGGTGAGCGCTTTTTCCACGCGACCGCGTATCCAGGGGATCGCGCCCCTGAGTGCAGACCACGCGGATTTCTTGGATCGGAGCTGGACCCTCCCCTCCCTGGGGCGCGGAGCTCGCCAGGGGCGGCGGCGGCGGCGCCGCCCGAGGCGTCCAGCTTCGATCCGAGACATCCGCGCCGGGCTCTCAAAGTTTCTGCTGCTCACGCAGCTGTTCCTTCCTGGAACGGATACGTTCGCCGCCCGTGAGGACTCCGTGGACGGCGAGGGCAAGCCCGGCAGGAAGCGCCGCGCCAGGTCGGTCCGGCGCTCGGATCTCGAGGCCCGGACCGCGTTCATCGACGAGGCCATCCCGGTGCTGGAGAGAGAGCCGAGGGGCTCCGCCAGGCGCCGGCGACCCACGCGTGTTTTGGTTCGGCCGTCCTCGAGGGCGCGAGGCGCGCTCGCAGCTGCCCGGGCGAGTGCCGAGGCCCTTTGGGCACGGCAGTCGAGACCGCCCTCGCAGCGGGCTCGTCCTCACCGCTGGCACGCGAAGCCCAGACCCCCCCCCTGGGTTCGGTCGGGGGTGGACAGAACCCCCAACAGTGACACGTCGATTGGTGAATTGTCCGTGTTCGGCTCTCGAGAGGGCGCCGTGGCCGTTATTTTCCAGGCTTGCGCCCGCCAGGTTTGGGCCTCAGGTCGTTTTCACTAAGCCACGTTTTACTAAAGGGGGGTCTGTCCATCCCGGGTTCAGAGGAGTAAAGGGTACCGATGCAGCTCCAGATCCTACTCGCTCTCTGCCTTCGGAAACCGTCGTCGGGTCCCGCGACCACCACAGTTGGAGCCGGGGCGGAAAAACTGCCCCCGGGGAGGGGGTCGGGACTTCTGCCGCCCGTGGGAAAAAAACATATCGCCAGATGTCTGGGACACTGTCCTCTTTTCCGACTTGTTGGGCCTCCTGGGAGGCCCTCGTCGCCACCGCTGGATTCACTTCGAAATGCTGGTCAGAACGCTTCCAGGCCACCCCGCTCCTGGAGAAAAAGAGAGAGAGAGAGTGTATTGTTTTGGAATGCGCGCACGCATCCCAATCCCCCAACGGGATTGTGGGGGTGGGATGCTCCTGTGCGCTCTTCGCGATGCTCGTGTCCCAGCCCCCCAACCCTGCCTCGGCTGCGCCCGAGATTGAGATCCTTCTTTCTGGCGATGCGCATCCACGGGGAATCGCTCCGCGATTATGAATGTCGCATCGTCGCCCCGCGGTTGAAATATCGAGCGAAGACCCCTTGGCCATGCGTCGACCGCGCGTCGCACCATGCGCGTTGGCACAGGAAGGCAAACTTCGACGACGAAGTTGTTCGCGCTCGGGCCGGCGCCCGGCGCCCTGCGTTGTTGGTGCGCTGCGTCGGCGATTGGCTCAGCGACAAAATTGTTTGCGCTGGAGTCGGCGCGCGGCGCCAAGCAGCTTCCTTGCCTGCCTGGACAGCGCTCGCGCGCACGCGGGCGAAGACTCGCGCGCCGCGCGGCGCCAATCCGATTCCGCGAGCGCCTGGCAAGCGCCCGAGCGCACATTCCCCGCGCGGCGTCGGCAGCTGTCTCGGCAAAGGATATTCGCGCGGCGGCCGGCGCGCAGCGCCAGGCGGGATGGCGCCTCGCTGCGCGGCTGGCGGCGTGCGCGCGGGCGTCCCTGCGGTTGCGTCGCAGCGGCGTTGCACATGTAAGGTACTCCAGATTTCGTAATAAAAGGGAGGGGGTCTGGACCCTCCAAGACGAGCCATTTCAGACCCCCCTTGTGGGAGAACCCTCCAAAACATCGCCCCCAGACCCCCTCAGGCCCTCCAAGATAGCCTGGAAGAGATCCCCCCCCGGAATGAGACCCCCCTCCCTTTATTGCGAAATCTGGAGCATCCTTCCGCAACCACCCGTCGGGGGGTAGCTGCGTGAAAGAAGAGGACAGCTTGCAGCTGCGGCGTCCGTGCCGGGGTCGGCACGCGGCGCCAAGCAGCCTCCCTGCTCGCCCGGACAGCGCACGCGCGCGCCGGCGAAGGCTCGCGCGTCGCATGCGGGGCCCCATCCTGCAAAGCAGGGCGCGTCGCCGGGGTCGGCGCGCGGCGCCGGCCCAGTGTCTCGCGCTGGGATTGGCGCATGAGAAGACGTTCGCTGCAGTCGCCACGCAAACGCCACGCGGGGCGCGGGGGGAGGAGGAGGAGGAGGAGGAGGAGGAGGAGGAGGAGGAGGAGGAGGAGGAGCAGGAGCAGGAGGAGGAGCAGGAGAAGGAGCAGGAGAAGGAGCAGGAGGAGGAGGAGGAGGAGGAGGAGGAGGAGGACGAGTGGGGCGCACGAGAAGACGTCCGCAGAGAGCGCCGCGCGCGAGCGGCGTGGAGAAGCGCCCCCCGGGACGCGCGACAGAGCGCCGCGCGCGAGCGGCGGGTGCGCGCGGAACTGCCCTCGAGGCGCGCCAGAGTGCGCCGCGTGCGAGCCGAGCGGGCGCGCACGAGAACGCCATCGGGGCGCGCCAGAGTGCGCCGCGTGCAAGCGGGCACGCATGAGATCGCCCTCGGGGTGCGCCCATGCGCGCCGCGTGCGAGCGGGCACGCGCGGAAACGCTCTCGGGGCGCGCCAGAGTGCGCCGTGTGCGGGCGGGCGCGCACGGAAGCACACTCGGGGCGAGGATCGGAGTCCATCCTTGCCCCAGTCTCCGTGAGGGAAATTGAGCGTGCCACGTGCGAGAGGGTGCGCAAGGAAGTGCTCCCAGGGCGCGCCAAAAGTGTGCCGCGTGCAAGCGGGCACGCAGAGGAACGCTCTCGGGGGCGCGCCAGAGAGCGCCGCGTACGAGCGGGCGCGCACGGAAGTGCCTTCGGGGTGTGCCATGGTGCGCCGCGTGCAGGCGGGCACGCACGAGAACGCCGTCGGGGCGCGCCAAAATGTGTCGCGTGCGAGCGGGTACGCACGGAAACGCCCTTGGGGCGCGCCGAGGTGCACTGTGTGCGAGAGGGCACGCACGAAAGCGTCCTCGGGGCGCGCCAGGGTGCGCCGCGTGTGAGCCGGCACGCACAGAAGTGTCTTCGGGTGGCGCTGGCGCGCGGGGGGTGCAATTCTGAGCAGAGCCGCGAAACTCCCCCGAGGGTTCCAAACATTGTTGTCAAGCTTGTGACGCTCATGAGACAGAGACGGAGGCATCATCTCTGTGCCACGCACAAAGGGAGGAAGGCGCCGCCTGCTTCCCGCACCGCTTGGAGGCGGGCGAGCCAACTTTCGCCCGCCGGCGTAGTGCATCTGGCATTTCGCAAAACGCTCCGGCCCTCTGTCGCCCGCTGCCTGGCGATGGTCAGGGCCGGCGCTCGCTCCGGAGAGGGCTCCATCCGCCAGGTGCCGCCGACCCTCCACAGACAGAGGAGGGTTACGGTTTCGACTTTTGAGTGGCGTCTTGCCGTTCACAAAACCCAGCGCAGTGCCATCATGGCTAGGCGTCTCGTTGGCGGCGCTTCGGGCCTGCGCAGCGCGGTCGTGCCCTGCAGGGCAGCGCGGGGGCCAGCGCCTTAGCGAAGGCTTGCGAAGCTTCGGGGGGGTTTAAAATCATGTTATCTGGGGAGGAGCATAAACACCAGCGTAGTGATCGCTGCAGCGGCGGGCAGGGTTGCATCAGGGACGGTGGACGACTGCCTGCTCGGCCCAAGGCAGCAGGGCTCGCGCACCCTCCCGCGCGGCTGCGTACGGTAGGGGCGTTCGTGGAAGGATGCGCTCCGGACCCTGGAGGGGTCCTTCTCCCACGAGGGCGGCGGTGATGTCCATGACCAGCCGCCGTTCTGCGTTCCCCCCGCTTCCAGACCCCGGGGTGCCTCATCGAACTGCTCCTCCTCGGGTCCCCCCGCCGTGTGCGGCGGCGGGCCGAGCGAGCATCGAAAGCAAAGCGAGGCCTCCGCCTGTCTGCAGGGCTGCGCCATCCGGTGGCTGCGCTGGGGTCGCCCTGGGGCGGTCCTCGAGGCCACCCGGGGGGGGCACCTGGGGACCAGCCGCCCAGCGTCTCGACAAGAGCAGGGGGGCCACAGTTTGGGGCTGTTTTTGTCCGCCTCTGGAGGCCCTCGCCGGGCTCCAGGGCCATCAAAAACGGCTCGGCACGAGAAGCTGGCCCTGGGGAGAGGATCGGAAATTCTGCGGGGGACACATTGACCAAAATGGGTCCGAAAACGTCGGATGTCTTGGGGGCTTTTTGGGGCCGCCTCGGGGCCATCCTGAGCCATCTTGGGGGCTATTCTGAGGCCCCTCGGTTCCACCTTGGAGGGCGTCTTGGGGCTACCTTGGGGCCTCGCTGGGCGATCCTGAGCGGTTCGTGCGATCTCCTGCGGCCACCTCGGTCCTCGATGCCCCTGGGGGGCCGTCCTGGCGCGATCTTGAGACCTCTTGGGGGGCAAACGCACGAGCTAGCTAGATATGCACGAGTTGCGCAACCCGACTGCATTTCAGCAGCCCGACTGTATTTCCTTCTACCACGTGGAATATGCTGCCAGTGGTTCGCCCCAATTTTTTGTTTTTAAATATTGGGGGCAAACGCAAAGCTTGGGACACGGAACGCGCGCATTTGCTTTTCCAGCGCTCTCCGCTGCCTCGGGGGCGCCTTTGGGCCTCGCCTTCGGGCCCTCCTGGGCCAGCCTCGAGGCACCTTGGGACCATGTTCGGCCGTTTTGGAACCTTGAAGCTCCTCCTCCTCCTCCTCCTCCTCCTCCTCCTCCTCCTCCTCCTCCTCCTCCTCCTCCTCCTCCTCCTCCTCCTCCCGCCTCCTCCTCCTCCTCCTCCTCCCCCGCTCCTCCTCCGCCTCCTCCTCCTCCTCCCGCCTCCTCCTCATCCTCCTCCTCCTCCTCCTGCCTCCTCCTCCTCCTCCTCCTCCTCCTCCTCCTCCTCCTCCCGCCTCATCCCCCTCCTCCTCCTCCACCCTCTCCTCCTCCTCCTCCCGCCTCCTCCTCCTCCTCCTCCTCCTCCTCCTCCTCTTCCTTCTCCTGCCCCTCCTGGGGCCGTCGTCGAGGCCTACTGCGTCCTCCCGCGCGGCTGGCGCCCCGGCGAGAGTGCTCGGGCAGCGCAGGGCGGCCAGGCGGCAGGGGGACGCGCTCCCAGGTGGCTTGCCTGGAAGCCGCGGGCCACCCGTCAGGGAGCAGACTGGAGACAAGACTTAAGTTGGGACTGTCCCTCTACCGGGGGGAGACTCAGAAATAGTCAAAAAATAGCCCGGGGACGATTTTAGTAGTATCCCAGTGCGACCCTTCCTAGGAGTTGGAACCCCTAGGAAAGCAGCATTAGTAGTAACAGTAACGCTAAGCTAAAGCTAAGCTAAAGCTAAGCTAAAGCTAAGCTAAAGCTAAGCCACAGCTAAGCTAAAGCTAAGCTAAAGCTAAGCTAAAGCTAAGCTAAAGTAAGCTAAGCTAAGCTAAAGCTAAGCTAAAGCTAAGCTAAAGCTACTAAGCTAAGCTAGCTAAGCTAAGCTAAAAGCTAAGCTAGCTAAGCTAAAGCTAAGCTAAAGCTAAACTAAGCTAGCTAAGCTAAGCTAAGCTAAAGCTAAGCTAAAGCTAAGCTAAAGCTAAGCTACAGCTAAGCTACAAGCTAAGCTAAAAGCTAAAGCTAAGCTAAAGCTAAGCTAAAGCTAAGCGAAAAGCTAAGCGAAACGCTAAGCTAAAGCTAAGCTACAGCTAAGCTAAAGCTAAGCTAAAGCTAAGCTAAAGCTAAGCTAAAGCTAAAGCTAAAGCTCCCAGGGGACTGGGGGGAACCGCTCCCAGGGGACTGGGGGAACCGCCCGGGGCGCTTTCCACTGCCCGGCCCCTTTAAGCTAAGAGAGTAAGAACCCTTCTAGGCAGAGCCTAGGTAGGGAAAAAGGTGTTTGTTGACTATTCGTTGTTGTTGTTATTGTTTGTGTTGTGTTATGTTTTTTGTTTGTATATATGTATATATATATATATATATATATGTTCATTTAAGAAATTATATGTGAAATTATCCCAGTGCGGCCCTACCTAGGAGTTGGAGCCTCTAGGAAAGCAACATTACTAGGAGCGGTAAACGCCGTCCTCATCCTTCTCCTCATCGTCGTAGTTGTAGCAGTAGCGGTAGTAGTAGCATGGAACATACGTGCGCACACACACATATCTATATAGTACATACATATCTATATATATATATATATATAGCAGCAGCAGCAGCAGTAGTGGATGTTGTGTTGCGCTATGATATGTTTTGCTATGCTCTGCTATGCTATGCTATGCTATGCTATGCTATGCTGCGCAATGCTATGCTGGGCTAGGCTATGCTAGGCTATGCTATGCTATGCTATGCTATGCTGCGCTATGCTATGCTGCGCTATGCTATGCTGCGCTATGCTATGCTATGCTATGCTATGCTATGCTATGCTATGCTATGCTATGCTATGCTATGCTTTTGCTTTGCCTTCGCTTTTGCCTTCACTTTTGCTTTTGCTTTTGCTTGGCACCCAGGGAGCGCAACTGGGGGAACCGCGCGTTTGCTTTTACCTTTGCTGTTGCTTTTGCTTGGCTCCCAGGGGACTGGGGGAACCGCCCGGGGCGCTTTCCACTGACCGGCCCCTTTAAGCTAGAGAGTAAGAACCCTTCTAGGCAGAGCCTAGGTAGGGAACAAATTTGATACACACATATATACATATATACACAGATATGTATGATATATATATATATATGTCGCCCAAAGTCCGACTCTATGGGGGACCCGCCCGACCTAAGACAAGACTGGAGAGTCAACTTCTCCGAGGCGGAGACTTATCCGTCACCACCGCTTGGGGGATCGATCTTCGCGGACCTCCCCAGGCGGTGGATATCATGGATGTATTCGGATTCCCAGGGGCCACCCTACATACACATCCACGGCCCGCCAGGGCACGAGGACATCGGTTCCCAGGCGGTGGATCTGAATAAATCCCCGCCTCGTCACTTCGTTCGCCAGTCTCACAAGCCTGGGGCCGTCTACCCGGGCATGCCCCATACAGACGGGCATGCCCATGGGCAGCACTGAGACGGCCGGCGTCTTTCAAGGTCAAGACTCAGCAGTTGAAGGTGGCACTGGCCATGTTCAAGTCCAAGCAGCGGGACATGGATGCGGCGAAGCGGGAAGCTACCTTGGCCATGAAGGCGCTCCGCCAGGAGGCGGAGAAACGCCGCCGGTCCGCCAGCGAGCGCAGGGTCACCAAGGAGAGGGAGCGCAAGGCGAAGGAGGAGGCCGAGCGCACGGCGAAGGCGGCGATGATCAAGAAGGCTCAGGCCCTCATGGGCGTGAAGGGCGGGGACGCCGACGGCATGCTGGGCGAGATGTCGCTGGGCGTCATGGTCGACGTGCTCATGGCCCTGCCGGACGCAGTGGAGAACCCCATCTTCAACAAGCGCCTGGCGAGGTCGAAGGACCAGGGCTGGACCTAAACGGTGTTTTGGGCGATTTCGTGGGCCGTTTTCGCGTCGGCCTCGCGTTGCGGTAGAAGGCGGACTCGAGACAACGGCGAGGGACAACGAAGACAGAGCGAGAGCGAGAAACGCCGTTGAGGCTCAGCCCTGCGGAGGACCTCGTGGTGACGTCCGTCCAGGACTTCCTCAACATCACGCGCCGCAAGACCGCGAAGTTTGTGCTGGCGGCCAGCAAGGCGCGGCGAGCTCTCCGCCTGCCGCCACGGCGGCCCTCGGAGGGCCCCGGGAGGCTCCCCTTGAGTTGGGCCCGTCTTCCTACATCGGGGGCGAAAAAGAGGGGGGTGATGACTAGGGGGAGGTGGACATCATGGCGTGGGCCATGATTTTTCCCCAGATTTCATGGCGCCTCTTCTTCTTTCATTACGTCCCTGGCCCCCCCGCTGGGCCGCGCACATGCCGCTGGTCATGATTTGCACCCCCTCCTCTTGGACAGCCCCCTCTTGGCCGCTCCCGACTACAGGGGGATTTTCAGCGACAGATAAAGCATACGCCAGAAATATTCAAAAGATGCCCAAAGATATGCAGAAAATGGTCCCCAGACTATCTTTTGACCATTTCTGAAAGTTCCCCCTGCAGAGGGGCAGGCCCGACTTGAGGCCCCCTGCAGGCCCCTGGGGGCCTCAAGAGGCCTCGGCAGGTCCAGCAGCCCAGAACTCCGACGTCGTGATTCTTCCTGCAGCGTGGACACCCAGAGTCTCGGGTCGGACGAAAGGATGGGATAGTCTGACACGCGCAGAGGGGGGGGGGGGAGGGGGGAGTGCTTCTTAGAAGCACCCCTGCTTCTTAGGAGGCGCGGGCCTTCTCTACAGATGCGAGGCCGGCGCCTTCTAAGAAGCAGCCTCCTTCTAAGAAGCCCCCCTCCCTCCGCCCCCTTGTGCCCGCCGCCAAGATAGGGAAAGGGGGGTTGCGAACTCTGCTGCGTGCAGCTGGTTCCGGCCCCACCGAGGGGTCCATTCCTCGATACATGGGCGCTTCTGGCGCCGGGAGGCGCCGGGAGAATCAGCTACGTGAGCTGACTCTCAAACCCCCCTTTGCTATCACCCCCTTTCGCTCAGCCCGAGAGTCGGGAGCGAAAGAAGGACGTAACGGTACATGAATCCACGCCGGTTTCGAAGGTGCGCATTGTGCGAACGTCCGCATCACGAGGCTGGTCTTGCGGACTAGGGCCGTATTCATGTACCTGGTTTGGCGCGTGCGTCCTTTGTGGGCTCCCTACAGAGGACTACTTCCCCAGCGCCAGCGTTGCATCCTGAGTTTGTTTGTAGTGACGGACCCGAGGCCCAGTCAGTGCCCTCGGTTGCCGAAAACTGTCCGAAGACCGCTGGGCGCCTGGCCGCCGAGGCGGCGTCGGCGCCCCTTCTCGCGGCGTCGGCGCCCAGACTTCCGGGGAGGAGGGGGAGGAGGGGGAGGAGGAGGAGGAGGAGGAGGAGGAGGAGGAGGAGGAGGAGGAGGAGGAGGAGGAGGAGGAGGAGGAGGAGGAGGGGGAGGAGGAGGAGGAGGAGGAGGGAGGAGGAGGAGGAGGAGGAGGGAGGAGGGAGGAGGAGGAGGAGGAGGAGGAGGAGGTGGGGGCAGGGCCCCCAATCGTCTGGAAACGTTCCCTCTCGACCCTCCGGGGTCGGGGGCAGAGCTCGGCAGCAATCGGCGGCGCGCCCAGAGGGGAAGGAGGAGGAGGAGGAGGCGGAGGAGGAGGAGGAGGAGGAGGAGTAGGAGGAGGAGGAGGAGGAGGAGGAGGAGGGGGAGGAGGGGGAGGAGGAGGAGGAAGAGGAGAAGGAAGTCCCCGGCCTTCTGAGAAGTTTCCCACGCCTTCCCGCAGGCGCGGAGAACTTTTCGGGAGGCCGAAGGGCTGCTGCGAAGTCCCGCGACCTTCTGTAAGCGGGCGAGGAACGGCATGACATAAACTTTTCCGCCGTCGGGGACGCCTGCCCCCCTGGCGGCTGCAAAGCTCATACCCCTACGGTGCCACGTAGGCGTCCCCGACGGCAGGGCCAGTTCATTTTATACAATTCTCCGCTCGCTAATTCTGGGAGGGCCTTCTCCTTCTCACTCCCCCCGCCCGCTCGCCGCCGAAGCGAGGCGTCCGACGTGGAGCTCTCGTTTCTCCTGGCGCGCTACTTCCACGAGGCCTCCTTCCGGGTCAAGGCGATGCAGTCGGACTCGCAGAAGATCGCGAGGCGGACGCCTCCCGCCCTCCTCTGCCCTCCCAGATCTCCGACGATACGTCGGCGTGTTTTCTATATATATATATATATATATATATATATACACTAGAACCACGCGCGCGCTTCGCGCGCGCTTAGGTTCTAGCTAGGAGGCGAGCTTGAGTCAACGAAAGTCGCAGGGAAGGGGGCAGGGGGAAGAAGGCCAGAGAGCGCTGAAGGATACAAATACTGGAACCCTCTTGTGATTTTGTGGGGGGCCTCGTCCGGCCGCTCGCTGGGAGTTTGACGTAGCTTCTCGGGAGCCTCTGAACCTGTCGGGGGCCTCCTGGAAGCAGGTTCGAAGCATTTTGGGGGCCGATTTGGGGCTTCTCGGGGCCTCCTTTGGGCCTCTTGGGGGTCTCCTGGGGCCTCTTGAGGGGCCTCCTTGGGGCCTCCTGGCGGCCTCTTGGGGCGGAAGGCTCGAGCTTGCGGTTCGTGGTCCCCCTCTGGGCCCCCTCTTGGGCCCGTCTTGGGGCCCTCTTGGGCCATCTTGGGCGCCTCTTGGGCCGTCTTGGGGCCCTCTTGGGCTGTCCTGGGGCCCTCTTGGAAGCTTCTTGGGCCGTCTTGGGGCGGTCTTGGAGGCCTCTTGGGCCGTCTTGGACGCGGTGAAAGCCCAAGATGCGAACATGCGAAAATATACGTTTTCCCATAGGAATGGCACGATTTTTGTTTCTTGGACCTCTCTTGGGGTGCCTCTCGGAACGTCTTGGGCTGATTTTGGAAGCCTTTTGGCGCCTCTGGGCGGCGTTTTGGCGCCTCCTGGGATATGTTGGGCCGGAAGCTCGGAATTCGAGAGTGGCTTTCTCCTTCTGGGACCCCTCTCGAAGTCGTCTTGGGGTTCTCTTGGGCCGTCTTGGGGCCGTCCTGAGCCACTCGTGCGCAGCCTTGGAGCGCTCCCGGAGGCCTCCTAGGCCGTCTTGGAGGCCTCTTGGGCCGTCTTGGACGCGGTGAAAGCCCAAGATGCGAACATGCGAAAAATATACGTTTTCCCATAGGAATGGCACGATTTTTGTTTCTTGGACCTCTCTTGGGGTGCCTCTCGGAACGTCTTGGGGTGCTTTTGGGAGCCTTTTGGCGCCTCTTGGCGGCATTTTGGCGCCTCCTGGAGCCTCTTGGGCCGGAAGCTCGGAATTCGAGGTTGGCTTTCTCCGTCTGGGACCCCTCTCGAACTCGTCTTGGGGCTCTCTTCGGCCGTCTTGGGGCCGTCCTGGGCCACTCGTGCGCAGCCTTGGAGCGCTCCCGGAGGCCTCGTAGACCGTCTTGGGCGCCTCTTGGGCCGTCTTGGACGCGGTGAAAGCCCAAGAGGCGAACATGCGAAAAATATACGTTTTCCCATAGGAATGGCACGATTTTTGCTTCTTGGGCCTCTCTTGGGCTGCCTCTCGGAGCGTCTTGGAGGCTTCTGGGACCTTCTTGGTGTCATGACAGGCGTCTTGGAAGGCATCTGGAGCCATCGGAGCGCGTTCCGAAGCCGCCTGCGAACGATCTTGGACGGCGTCCGGCGGTCCGACGAGCCTCCGGGCCCCCCGGGGCCCACATTTGTGGTCGGGGTCCCGGCCCCGGGCCCCCGGACCCGGTGCGCCGTTATATGTATACACATATATATATATATATATATATATATAGATGTGGAAACATCGTATCATTATTTTTGTTATTGTTTTTGTGCTTGTCAGTGTTGTTGTTATTATTGTTATTGCTAGTGTTTTTATTATTAGTTTTAATATTATTATTTTTCGTGTGATGTATGTTTCGTTTCCTTCTTCTTTTTTATTCGTGGTAGTATTATTCGTATTTCTACCATGAGTATGATGTTTGCTATTTATATGTTTGCTAATAATATTATTACTTGCATTGACAAGTATTAGTATCAATAGTTGTAGTATCAGGTATGTTGTTAAGTATCTATGTGTATACAGGTATACACAAAGGTGATGGTATATGTATTACATGTATCGTGGATGTTTCATTTACTTGTTACATGGTGATTTATTACATGGTATATTCATTACATGGTGATGGCTTATTTATTACATGTTCCTCGATCTTGTCCTCGATCTTCCCGATCTCAGATCTGGCGTTCCTTCCTCGCTATCGGCCCTCGGGGTCGGTTGTCGGGCCCCGGGGCCAGCAGAAGCGGGCCCCGGGGCGCGAGACCCACCCGCAGGGAAGGGGTCTCGGGGCCTCTGGTGCCGCGGTTTTCGGAGCCGAACGCCCCCGGGAGGGAAACATTGGCACAGGCAGAGACAAACGTCGATCCCCAGGAAGACTAGGGAAGATGTGGGACGTGGAGGGGAAGACGGGGACCCGGAAATTAGGAACAGTGTGGGGGGCATCCTGGGATTTGCGTCCGTCTATCTGTGCTTCCCTGGGCCCCATCTTCTTCCCAGAGGGGAGCCTTCCCAGAGGCCCCTGAGGGCCTTCGAGGAAGGCCCCCGTCTGCCGAGAGGCCCCCCCCCCCACGCCTTCTCTGGAGGGCCGCCGCCTCTCGGGCCGCCCCCCTTTGTGCGCAGCGCCAACGGGAGTAGGGGCAGGAGGAGGAGGAGGAGACGGAGGAGGAGAAGGAGGAGCAAGAGGAGGACCAGTACAAACCCAAGACCCACTAACGGTGTTGGAATAAACCCTCCCTCCAAGCTCCCTCATCAGAGGCCCCTACACGAGTTCATGTTCACTGAGGGAGATGCCTCGTTGGGAAATATTGTTTGAAGGCCCTGAAGCATGCCAAAACACCTCTTGGGACTCCAACGCCACGGATTCACTTGATCTTGACCCGTGCCAGAACACCATTCCTGGGACTTCAACACCGCGAATCAACGTAAATTCTGCGCCCTCACAATCCTGAGTCCTTCGAACTCTTGCATTTGTTTAGAAGGAGCGTGCGCGGCGCTACGGCGAGAGCCACATTTTGAAAACGAGCTGCCCTCGATCCGAAACTCTTGCAACTTGTTAAGACGAACGTTCGCGGCGCTAAGGCGAGAACCACATTTTGGAAACGGCCCGCCCTCAATCCGTGAAACTTTTGCCAATTCTGAAAACGAATTGTGCGCGGCGCTAAAGCGAATGCCACATTTTGAAAACGAGCCGCCCTCAATCCGTGAAACTTATTTGAGTTGTTTAAGACGAATGTGCGCGGCGCTAAGGCGAGAGCCACATTTCGAAAACCGCCCGCCCTCAATGTGTGAATCTATTGCCAATGTTTGAGCTTCAGGGCCATAAATGGTGAGGAAGTCCCAGGCGAAACACCCGGCCCTCCCTTTCGACCAGCCTCGGGGTGCGACAGTGAGAAATTAAGTAGCACCCCGCAGTTGCGAATCAGAGTGAGGGGGCGGCGGGGGCGTCGGCAGTCTGCGAGGCTCTGAAGAAACCCGCCACAGGCGCTAATTTTTTACAAATTGTACAACGAGCACGCCGCAGGCGCCGGTTTTTTTCGTTAAGGCAATGTGGGTCAGCCGCGGGGTGGGTCGCGGGTGGGTCGCGGGCAGGGTCGCGGGTGGGTCGCGGGTGTGTCGCTGGCGGGTAGCGCGTGGGTCGCGGATGGGTCGCGGGCGGGTCGCGGGGTGGGTCGCGGGTGGGTCGCGGGGTGTGTCGCGGGTGTGTCGCGGGTGGGTCGCGGGTGGGTGGCGGGCCAGGTCGTTGGGCGAACGACGACAACAAAACAAAACAAACAAACAACAAAAAACAAACAACAAACAACAAACCACAAACATCAAGCAACAACAAACAATCAACAACCACAGCAATAACAACAACACCACCACCAACAGCAACAACAGCACCAACAACACCAATACCAACAGCCTCAGCAACAACAGCAATCAGTTTAAGACCGTTCGTTCTTATCTGCTCGCGTGCCATTCAACACGTATATCCCAATCCCTCGATACCCATCCTCTTCGTCTTCGATCGCATTCGAGCAGCACCTAAGGGGGCAAGAGAGAACGGATGGAAGGAAAGGACAAGGACGGAGCACATG